GGTCCGCTTTCGAGGTGTTTTTGGCTTGAAGCGTGGTGAGAGATTGTCAGAAGCAACATGCAAAGATTCAATCTCCTGAAAAGACTGCGAGCCATTGGACAAAGGCTACGGCTTGGCACGACCAACGGCAGAAACCTTTTACTAGGCTTTAGACACATTAGACACATCACGAAACATCCCCTTGCTCGGTCTATGCTCCTCCAAAATCAGATTTTCTTGATCGCAGGTGTTGGGCGACACTTTGGCTTCCGCCCATCCGCTGCACCAGAGCGACGTCTTGGACATGGGCCAAGTGCGGATCCGCCTTGCCAAGGCGGAACACCCTTCAAACAGCATATGCCAGGTTGTTCCAAGTCACGATACTTTGAAAGGTCTACTGTCAATAATTGTGTTAAAAACAGTTTGTTGTTAACTTGCACATCCTTTGAAAACCATGGTCCCCTAGAGTTAGACTCAGGACAAGGGACTTGGCAACTTTGTTAAATTAATGCACTTGGGGCCTATTCTGCAATATGTCTGTGGCAATGGCTTGACTTAATGATGCATTCAGGTCTCTCCATTGATAGGAGCAGGCACGTGCTGCTGAGTGGGTGAATGTCGAACATTTTTTTCTGGGAAATTGTTTTTGTTTGAATGCTTCTCTTTGCTGGCGACAGATGATGAAACGGCTCTGGCTATGTTCGTTGGTGGTGTAGTGTCTCGGCACAGCACCAAGGTGCCTTAGTTTCGGAGGTTCGCCCACTTTCAACGCTTGCTTAGTTAATGTGTGCGCACGCGCTCCACGGTCAGCTGCCACCTAAGGACCATTCTGTGCCAAATGTGGTGCGACGTCCGCTGTTGATCCCACCTGCCTAACGGCAAAGTTCCTGAATCGAACAACCAGTTCCGTACTCCACGAACCATTTCACAGCTGCTGTTTCAGACTTATCCGAGTATGTTTGGTGATGTTGGATTTGTTTGGCGACAAACACGATGCGTTCAAAAGCCTTCCAAAGGTCACAAGGAGACATTGCAGCTGTGCTGTAAGCAATTGAACTCACTGTTCCGTGAAGATGGTGCAGGGAGATGCAAGATCCTTTTTGAAAAGTGTTCCCAGCTGCAAAGTGGCTCTCCTTTTTCAAGCAGGGAAGACTTTTCATGAATTCATGTTCCATTGCAAATTCCCGAAGGAGAACATTGCCCTGTTTTATACTGCGCCATTTGACACCTGCTTTGCCTAGTGCTGAAGGATCAGTGGTGTCAAATCTTTGCAAATGCACCCAACTTTGCCCCTGATGGGGTTGCTGTTGGATGGCAGGCACAAAAGGAGCTCTTGAAAAGGGTGTTTGAGAGTTGCCCTGCCCTACTGATTGCTGCCCACCTGCAAACAACAGGAATCCTCCTATTCCGAATAGTACTTTCAGTGGATCCACTGTTTGTAGATCTCACAAATGGTTTTTTCAGTCAGAGTAGACCACACTCAATAGGACTCTTGTACCAAAATGTGGTAACTTCTTGTGGTTGCATGATCGGAAGGCTAGAGTCCGTTGATTCCAAGGTTGCCATGGCTAGCAGAGGCTCCATGGCCAGAGCTTCGGTCTTCAGCAGCAAGTCGAAGGCGCCTGGTTTGGGTCTGGCTGGCAGGGTCAAAACTGCTAGCCACTGTCATTCCCTAAGAGAAGGTGAAGCCAAAATTCTTGAAATGACTTGATGTTTGAGGCGTTTGTGAAGGTCTGTGGAATACTGGATCACTTTTGTTGACTTGGCAAGTAGAAAAGCAACCAAAGAGTTCCAATCAACCGGGCAGGCTTCTGGCGTACTTTCACCACAAAGCTCCACTTTGGCACGCAAATCAATGAGATCCAAATCAGGACGAACAGACAAACGAAGCAGGTCTGGACAGGTCTTGATCGGTTGTAGTACTGATGGATTTGGAGTATCTGGCAAGTATTTGGCCACAAGTGATGGTTCATGATTTGTGCCTGGCTCTGTGGAGGTGCAGGCTGCCTAGACCAAAAGGGGAAGTTAGTGTCAAACAAAATGCTTGAACATCAACATGCAAAGATTGAGAAGTGCATTTGGCTCCGAGCATAATTTCAGATTGATGTTTTGCTGAGAAGGTCCCAGAGCTTCTTGCAGATCCAGTTTTGCTCTATTCTTGCCTTTCATCCTTTTTTTGCTCAGCGTGTGGTGCAGGAACAAAAGACTCAGGTCGTTCTGGCGGTGACTCAAAGGCCGTGTTGAGATACATCCCGCGCACCCGTTTTCGAGGGTTCCGTTTTAGTCCGCGCACCTGTTTTCAAAGGTTCCAGTTCAGCCCGCGCACCGAAAAAAACATACAATGCAATCATTAAGCCTTGATTTGCTAAGTTTCTCCCAACCCAGCTTTTCCTGTGTGAGGCGTCGAGCTCCATGGGGGATGACTACTTGATTCGCGAAGGATCAAATTCCTCAGACAAGCGGGCAGCTCAGAAATGCTTTTTCTGCACTGAATGCTTTTCCTCATTGGTCCTGCAGGTTCATTGTGGGAGTCATTGGTGCAACGCTGATGATTGTACAGGCTTGGTTTGAGACTGCTTGAAATCCCATGTCAACTGCAGGAGATGTATGAATTTTCACACAAAGAAACATCTCTTTAGCAAAGCCAAGTGGATTACCCACAGAACAGGTGGTGGCGCTCATCGCAGGGCTTACTTCGTGGCTAAAGGTCACGCAACATCCCCAGACTCTGGCACCCAAATTGAAAGGAAGGATTCGAAAGAAAGGATTCAACGTCAACACGAAATGTCATTGAGATCCGGAGATTGAAATTCGACAAGAGTCGTGTCACTAGTCGCTATTGATTTATCGGTGGCGGCGTTACAGACACACACACACAGAAATGTGCATTCTTGATGGCAATCTTTCAAACCTCACCTTACAACCTGCCAAGGAACAAAGAGCTTGCCAATCCCTCAAATGTTCATTTTATCATTGATCAACAATATTATATTGTTCAATATAACCAACCAATTGCATTGCAATTGTTGCATAATACTGAGGAACAACAACTCATTGAAGCCAATCTCATCTAAAAACAATTCAATCAATATATTCATAAATATATAATCAATATTATCTTTTATATTTTAATATATAATATAATTGAATATATAATATAAACATAAATATAAAATACATTAAACAATATAAATTTGAATATTTAGATTTATATTAATATGAATAAATGAAAAAAAAATATATATATAACGAATTTATGTTTTTAGGATTAGATATATTAATTTGGCAAATTTGGCTAATTTAATTATAAATTTTTATTAAACAAATATAGATTAAAATAAACAATAAAATTTGGACATAATATTTATTTTTAATTTATCGATTATTTTTTCTTTTAGATATTAATATTATATATTCGGAATTATATAATCGAAATATTAATATAATAAAATCGGGATATTATTATATATATTTATAATATATTTGGGATATAAAAATATTATATAAATTTTAATATGATCGAATTATTATTATAATATGATTGAGATATTATTATAATAGAGATATTGTTATAATATGATTGGGATATTGTTAAAATATAATTGGAATATTAATATAAATTTGATCGAGATATTTTTATAATACGATTGGGAAATTATATGACACGAACGAAATACTATTATAATAATAACGAAATAATCGCAATATAATATTATTTAATACGACCGAGATATTGTTGTTATATAACACGGTTACTAGAATTATATAATTGGGACATAATAAAATAAAATCGGAATATTACTAAAATATAATTGTATAATAATTGATAACCAATAGGTTCCGAAGACAAAAATTATAGACTAAACTAATCCCTGGTTCTTTATATAGTGGAAATTATCATCTATTGGGTAAAATAAATTATTGATAAATAACCCAACCTATCGAATACAAAATTTCCCACGATTCTTCAAAACCAAATCCCATTATTCATGCATGTATAGTATGGGACAAATACTAAATGCAAAAACCATGCATTCTAAAAGCAAAAACCTCCCAATTGCGGCGTTGACCTAGACCTCGCCACATATTTTCCCACCCCCCTCAATCATTCAAATCGAAAAAGATCGGACCCATTCCCTGTCTAATTACTAAATTGACATACAAAATAATTTTTATTGTAAAATTCACGCTGTGCACTTAGGGTTGCAACTTTTCGAATTGTTTCATGCCCCGACGCTTTCATTCACTCGAGCACCGGGTGGGCGTTCGCCTTGAGAAAAGGTGCGGCCGTGTCGCTTTTCGAACGACCTCGATTTCGACTTGTTCACGGACCTCGAGCGCCGTGCTACCTTTTTCGCATTGGTAGCGGAGCCTCCTCCGGGGGGCTCCGAATCCTTTGCGCGAAGAAGAACGAGGTTCTGCATAAATCCTTTGTCATGAACCCTTGGCCGAGCTCTTTTGTTTCCTCGTGGAAGAGCCCTATCGGTCTTGGCTACCTGATTGAGAATGCCACCAACGACATCGGCTGCAGAGAGCTCCAAGGATGGAGACTACCTCAACCTGCGCGACTCCTTCGTTCCACTTTTCAGTGGCCAACCCCAGGACTACAAAGAGTATAGAAAGAGGCTGATGCTCTACCACCACAAGATGAAGATCAGCAAGCGCACAGCCGAATCTGTCCTGATCATCCTGGGAAGTTTTCAGGGTGGGGTTTGGCGGTTGTTTGAGGACTTCTCAGTCGAACAGGCTGAGAAGGAAGATGGCTTTGGAAAGATCATCACCAAGCTCGACAAGAACTTCGAGTACGATGATTGAGTGCTCCTTCCGAACGACTTTGAGGAGTACTTCAACTTGTTGCAACGAAAGCCTCAACAAAGCCTCCTGTCCTTTGTCACGGACCACGACACCGCCTACCGTCGTCTGACCGCTCACAACGTGATCCTTCCTGGTCAGGTTCAAGGATGGCATCTACTCCGACGTGATGCTTTGGCAAAGGAGCAACGCCAGATGGTGACACTGAAAGCTCCCACGTTGGAAAAGACCCCAGTCATCGAGGCCCTGTACCTGCTGTTCGGTCAGGACTACAAAGCTGGCGGCTGGAACGCCGAACGTGATCGCAAGTTCAACCGCTGGAAGGGCCGCGGCTACGCTGCCTTCGATGACGAAGATGCCTACTGGTCCGAACAACCCTGGCTTGAAGAGGCCTACTATGAGGCCGACGACTGGTATGATGACACCGCCCCTGACGATGAGGCTGACTTCGACTATGACGCCATCTACTACGGCCAAGAGGATGACAAGAGTTGGCAGAAGAGTATGACCACGCCTATGCCACCTATTTGGATGCCCGGCAAAGATTCCAGCAACTCAAATTGGCTCGTGGCTACCTGCCGATTGTCGCCCTCACTGATGGCCAGAACACTTCAGCCGCCTCTGGATCCTCTTCACCTTCGAAGGGAGCTGGCAAGAACAAAGGAAAGGGCAAGAACAAAAGCAAAGGAAAAGGAAAGAATGTGGTGCGCTATCCCTCCTCCTCCGGGGGGAAGTCAGATCCAAAAGGTCGCGCAAAGGCAACTACATGTCTTCGTTGTGGCCAACCAGGTCATTGGGCAGCACAATGTCCACAAAGTGCGCAGAAGGCATGACCTTGCAGAATGAGGCCGCCTTGGTCCTGTTCCAGGATGAGATGGGCACAGATCGACCTGACGCCACCATGTTGGACCCAGGTGCATCGGCTTTCCTGGGCGGCTATGGTCCCTTTGGACGCTCCCTGAGTCAGCTCCACTCCATGAACTACCCCATCAACACCATCCGCTTTGCACGATGCGACCGCCAATTCCATTTTGGCGGCGATGCTTCTTCACGAGCATCATGGACAATGGACCTCCCTGTGATGATCGATGGCCAATTCGGCACGATCCAATGCTACCTGGTCCCTGGCAATACGCCAATATTGATGGGCAGACCTGTGATTGAGGCCTTGCATATGGGCATCGACTTCAGCCAAAAGCGCATTCGCTTTGGTCGTTCTCCCTGGACCTCAGTGCTTGTGGGAAGCCATGGCGAGTACTTGTTGAGCCTCACCACCGGCATGGAAGAAGTACCTGATCCCACGAAAGACCTGTTCAGCCTTCGCGTTGCTGAAGAAACTCCGGGCAGCCACCTCCACTTCGAGGACTTCAATAAGCTCGAACACGTGTTTCAAACTGAGGATGTGGTCTTGTCAGGTTGCGAATTGCAATCCACTCGCCTTCATCGACATGCCCTTCGAACCATGGAGACTCAGCTGGTCACGACATCCAATTCCACCGAAGCCTACATCACTCAGGAGCTTCACAATCCTCCTGACCATCGACGAGTCCTCTGGGAGATCTATTGATCTATTGTGGCAAAGCTCGCACTGATCACATTGCAGAGGAACTTGGCATGAAGGTGGAAAGGTTTTCTTTAGACAATGGCTGGGACTTCAACCTCATCAGCCATCAACAACAGCTACTCCAACGACTTGATGAAGAAGAACCTGACGAAGTGTTAGTGGCACCAGAATATCGTCTATGGTCAAGAATGCAAACCTTGGCTTGCCGCACCCCTGCTCAGCAAGAAGCATTGAAAGCCCGACGTGAGCACCACCATCGTCGTCATTTTTATTTTGCCAAGCGCATCTACCTACGACAGGTGACCAATGCACGGCATGCTCACTTGGAGCCCCGACATGCACTGAGCTGGAACACCACGGATCTTCGAGATCTTCCTGGCTACTATGCCGACTTTGACCAATGCCGCTATGGAGCAATGTGCATGGACACCGACGGCATCTGGCGACCTGTCCAAAAGAGCACTCGCCTGCTGACCACGAAACAGGCTGTTCTCGAAGCCTTTCAGTTGAAATGTGACCACGATCACCACCACTGCCCCTTGGAAGGCTCTGCTCCTGGCTATGGCCGCCGGACCACCTATTTGGAGGACTATCAACCCGGCTTTGCAGCAACTTTGGCTGCAGCACTGGCTCGTCCTGAGGCCGCTCAACTGGGGGACACCGCCTATGTGGTCGATGAAACTAGCAAGAAAGAGATTGGACATCTCCTCAAGCTCAAGTTCGAGCACCGTCAAGATGCTCTCCGAACAGTGCAACGGCTTCATCGGAACCTTGGTCATCCAGCTTGACCGCCAGAGGAGCTCACCCCACGGTGATCGCAGCTGCCAAGGAGTACAAGTGTGTAGCATATCTGAAGCACAAGAAGCCCAACCAGGTTGCTCCATCATCCATGCCACAGCCCAAGACCTTCAATGAAGTGATTCGGGCTGACGTCTTCTACCTCAAGCCAGCCGATCGCAAGTTCGCAGTGTTGAGCATAATTGATGTTGGCACCAAGTTCATGGCAACCTATCTGCTGCATGAAAGTCCTACATCACCGCTCTGGAAAAGATGTGGGTCCGCCACTTTGGCCCTCCCAAGAAGTTGATCTCCGATGAAGGCCGACCTTGGCTTGGTGCACCTTTCGAATCCTGGACAATTCTCTCTGGGCATTGACCACCAAGTAGCACCAGGAGAAGTTCATGAGCGCCTTTCGTTGGTCGAGCGCCGTCATGCAGTGCTGCGCCGTGCCTGTGAGGTCTACATGGATGATCGCAAGCTCAACGACGCTGCTGGCATCAAAGAAGCCCTTTGCTATGTGATCCCTCAACAGAATGCAACTCCATCTGTTGCCGGCTTCTCTCCCAGTCAATGGGTACTTGGCTTTCAACCAGAGATGTCCCACCTCATGGACTACAACCTCAATGCAGCTCAACTGG